GTGGGTCCCAGGATTACCTGTAAACTACGAAGGAAGTTCTTCACGAAACTTAGCAGGAAACTTTCCAAACTGTCTATGAAACTACCCGCTGTGGCCTTAAGTTCAGTGGTGGGGTCCTGACTCCATTCAGTGTGGCTGGTTTGGCATGGGTCTAGGGGTAACCTCACCCATTTAACCACTCTTTGAACTCCCGGTTCAAGCAATATTTTAGTCACCGTCTTCATCACTATACTTTGGACCCTACACAATTTTGTATGGCAGTAGCGGAATCGGTGTAGAAACAATACTTTACTAAGCACGACAAAGAATGTATAGAAAAAGGATCTTTGAAGTACACAAGAGACTGACATTTTGTATACTACTAATGCTTACTAATCGAGTTATATGTATTGGTTGAAGACTTCAAGTTGGGTTGTGGGATAAAGAGATTTTAATGACTTTATCTTACATGGCTCCTCGTTTTCTGCTTAAAGGATTGTTCGGCCAAGTGGCATTAACCAATGGTAATAAATCATTTTTATCCTACGCAGTGAATTGAAAGGTGTATAAAAGACTTGTCGCAACAATGGGTCTCCAGCTCGTAACGGGTATAGTTTGTGTTTTCATTTAAAACCCCAAACCTCGTCAATAAGTCGCTCACAAAATATGAGGCAACTACTCGACATTTATGTTTGTACACCCGCATGGATGACAGACAGACGAGGTAAAAACGTCAGAATGCGAACTGTGTACCTGGTCTGCCAAATCGAAACAACTCCTCCTTTGTCATGTAGTACTATATGTATACGTTGCAGGGCAAACGACGAAAATTGGTCGGTGATATGCGCATTGATGTTTCCATGATCTCTGCTTGCACCGACTCTGGATCGGTATATGTCATTAACAGACTTACTATACTTGAATATTATACTTGAATACTATATTGTGGTGAATTAACGTGAATTGACGAGGTTTGGGGTTCAATGCATCTTAGTTTCTTACTACCCACATGTGATGCAAAACAAACTACAAATAACATCATAAAAATGTACTATATTTATATAAGCCTAATTGTTTGAAAACACTTGGAATCCTCCAGATTTCTATTTTCTTAAATGGGAATATTTTTTCCATTTTTACACCTGCTGAATATATGCTGAAATGCTCAAGTTATCGGAAATGGGTTGTCTACCTTAGTTCATGTGCACCAGGATTGCTTATCTAAAAAGTGGAGCGGAGCTTGGGATTTGCGCGTGTATCACTACAGCAACAGCAGCCTCAATGATCTACCTCCGATTTCTGGGAGACCTGTGGTCATCCCACGAGCTGCTCGCATTGCGCGTGGTGGTCCAAAAATACTCTGTACACAACGCAGGAAGTTCTTCGAGAAACTAAGGAGGAAACTCCGAGCTGAACTACTTGTGAAACTACCAGCAGTGGCCTACAGTACAGTGGGGTACAGAAATAATTCGAATTTTTTTCCAAAGTGAATCAGTGTTAGAAATCACTGAACTTCAAAAAGCTCCAGCAGTTTCAAAAATGAACGCATTTTTGAGCCGTAAAGTGCATTGCGAAGATAGTAGAATCTAGTTTCATGGTGTAACAATTTTTCATTATAAAATTGTGAAAATATACATCAAGAGAGCTTTTTGTTACATACTATCTACCATCTCGTACTACCACCCCCAGCTGCAATCACCCCTTGCATCCTATAAAGCATAGTGGAAATCAATGTACAAAGCCACTCTATAGATATGGTATCCCATACGGATTGAATTTTTTCTATCATTTCTAGCTTACTATTAGGTCTACTATGATGTTTGAGCAAATCTTTTACAACCATCCAAACGTTCTCTATTGGATTCAAGTCCGGTGAATTGGCAGGCCAAAACAACTTTTCTATACCATGAGCACGTCTCCATTGCACTGGCAATGAGTTACGGTGGACTGGAGCACCATCCTCCATCAATATCAATTGCTCAGGGTCATCATGTAAGAAATAAAAGCCAATTAATACTCCTTCATAAACAATAGTGACAAAATCACTTGATGATCTCTTATTTGAAGGAATGGTGACCAATGGAGACTTATCAAAGCCAGTAAAGGCACCCCAAACCATCACTGAACTACGTCCAGACTTAAAACTTGGTGCTATACAATCCCAATTATATTTTTTGTACGCCTTCCGCCACACTCTAATTTGCCGTGGATTTTTGCCAGTTTTGAATGACGACTCATCCGTCCAAATAATATTACACCAATCTTCAAACGTCCAACTCTCATAAGCACATGCAAATGCAAGCCTATCTGCTTTATGTTTGACATTCAAATAGGGCTTTTTAGGTGCTATACAATTTCTAAAACCAAGCTCACGGAGGTAGAGTCGAATAGTAGTTCGGGAAACACTCACCAAGTTTGCAAGTTCTACCAGAGTATGCCTTCTATTTGAACTGACAGCATGACATAACACCCGAAAATCCCGCTCAGACAACTTCCTAGGTCTGCCACATTGTGATTTCAACGACTCCACACTTCCATGGACCTTCCAATGACTCAAGTTAGTTGAAATGGTGGAATAGGGAGCACTGAAGACTTCTGCAATGTCCTTACACTTCATCCCAGCCTTCCTCATCTCCACAATCTGATTCTTCTGCATAGGGGACAATGTTCTGTACTTCATGGTGCTTGCTATAAGCCTTCAAACAACACAAACCAACTTCTAGTTTAACAGAGAGGAGTCACTGAAGCTAACGATGTCCAAAACCAAAAAAGAACACTTCTAAAATCTGTATGTGCTTCACAATCTCAATCTGTGGCAATGCAATGTGCTTCACATCTTCAGATGGATTATATAAGTCACCCCATCCAAGCATTCTATGCTATCACTCCATTTTGTTGGCTGCATGCATGCCTAATTGTAACTATGATTTTTTAGCTCACCTAACCACTTCCACATTAATCATCACATTTGCAATTTGCTTTTGAAGACACATGGCTAATTACATGTAATTAGACACCTCTTGCACTCCAAAAATAGATGGCTAAGTGTCGGGGAAAGATTCCTTCCAACATGATCATAGCATTCAATTGAACAACAAGATTTTTTCAGCAAAAGTGGTGCTCTAGAAAAAAATTCGAATTATTTCTGTACCCCACTGTACACTGGTGGGGTCCTGACAGCATTCGGTATTGCTGGTTTGTTATGTGTCTGAGTAATCTCACCCATAGAACCTCTGCTTGTACTTCTCCTGCAAGCAATATACCAGTTATCGACTTCATCACTCTACTTTGGATCTCACACTGTTTTGTATCAGCTGCGCAACCTCTGAACCTGGAGTTTTCTTTCAGCTAGCTTCAACAAATTTGGTTTTGTGATGATCGAGCTTTGGGCATAATTTGATGAAATGGGTTTTTGCAGAAGATATCCATTCGAAGATTTTGAGACTTATGAGATTATTATTCTTTTTGAGAAATTGTACATGATTGAATGAGTGGTAATAGAAAAAACCACGAAACTACAAGACTTCTTTTAATGTCTTCTTTTTCTCGTATATCGGTCAGTGGAGATTTCTAATAAAATCAACTGCACTCATGGAAATATAATGAGTATTTTTTCTTTTTTGATAAGTGTAATGGAAGTCTTGAGGTTAATTTGCCCACATGCAGATAATTGAGTTGAAGATTTCAAATTCAGCTTCTTGAATATTTTTGAGACACATCAAAGTTAGTGGATTGAAAAAAATATATTTTATAACAATATATATGTATATTGGCATTTTGATTTTTCTGTGTTAAATACAGTGCAAAGAGTACAAAGAAGTTAATTACAAGCACAAACCCTAAATACCATTGGAACAGAAAAGATACTTAATGTATGTATGTTTGAATATTTTTGTAAATTTTTAAAATGGAAGTAAGATGGAAATCTGGTTTACAACACCTATATGAAAAAATTATTTAATGCATAAAATATAAATACATCATATAATTTATTATTAAATATTTATTAATTATATAATAATAATTATAATATTAGAAGAAAAAATAATTTCAAAATTTCTAAGTTAAAAAATGAAAGAAGTTTAAACTAAATTTTTATTGTATATATTTAAAATTACTAAAAGAATATTAAAAATTATTACAATTTTATTTAATAATTTAATTAAAAAATAGCTACAATAAGATTTGCAACAATGTATGATGTTTTTATTTCAATATATATATATATATATATATATATAGATAGATATAATATTTTATCCTATTCTCCCTTTAAAACCTTCATCTTATTTAATAAAAGATGTTTGTTTAGGACATAAAAAATCTCAAAGTTGTTGCCTTGTTAGATTTTGGAGCTTCAGCTTGTTTTATAAATGAAAATTTCTTTCAAAAAATATAAAATAATCTTAATAAAGTAAATCAAGCTAATCCATTCTAAGTCAATATAAGGATTATTTAGAGGTTTTTGAAAAGAAGAATGTTGATATTCTTCTAAAACATTATTCTTATGATTATTTAACTGATCTTCAAATAATCATAATCATAAGAATAAAATTTATTTGTTAAAATTCTAAAATTTTAAAAAATAAATTTTTGTTTATTATCTAAACAACATTTTAATCTAATCTACAAATACAAAAAAGCATGAACTTTATATTTTCTCACATGTTACAAAAACTTAGAATCATTATTGTACATCAAGATGGAGGCTTTCAAAAATAAAAATAATTTCAGAATTGGTTTGTCTTCATTTGATATTTAGAAAATAAAAATGATACGATAAATAATGCAAGGTGATGTGTTTTGATTTTAGATTACATATTCAGCTAAACATATTTTGATGATGGAAAATAAAAATCTTGACTCTAATTATTCAAAAAATTAATAGAAAGAAATCTTTACACATGGATACATCATAATCAACAAGAATTTAGTAAAGAAACTAGTTAGTTTTTACATTTTGAGTGCACATAAATATTTTGTATTTTGACAAATTCAAACATGGTAATTGGTACTCATCATCCATCAATAATAATAATAATCATAATAAATAAGAATACATAAATCTTATTCAAATAAAAGAAATGACTTGAAGATGAAACAAAAAGAGAATTAGACATTGTGAGGTTCTAGAAGTTGAATGAGTATTGAGTTATGGACTCTAAAACATTCTAATAAGCTTATCAGAACACAGACGTGGTGTATTCACATGTGAAGAAACTGAAGGCAGAATAGGTGATTACAACTTTGAAGATGATGTTTAAGGAAATAATAAAGTCATTGATCCTTGCGTGCATGCAGAGTGTTGTGCGTGCTCATGGTCACCTTTCCAAAGGGCTTGGTCTTGGCCATCTGCATCAAGCACATCTGCCTCCAACCCTTCTTTATATGCAATTTGTTATTAAAGATTGTTGCATATTAGTGTGAAAATTTAATAGCTCATGTATTTATTACTTTCAATATTAGAAAACATATTTTGATATTTTTTTTATACAAACATACAATTAAAAATCTCAAGAATGAGAATTTCAATTTCAATACAACAAAATTGGAGGACAATTTTGTGAAAATTCCATGTCTTTGATGACAATATCATGTTAAATCAAACCACTTCTAAAACCTTATGATTGAGAAATTCATGATTAAGAAAAAATATATATATTTAATCAAAAAAATTATTGATCATTAAGAAAGTATATTTGTTAATTTAACTCATTGAAGCTTTTAAATGGATGTTTGTCTAAAACTGTTCCTTTAAAAACTAGCTGAACATGATAACAACAAAAACTGATTATGGGTCAATTGAAAAGATGCAATCACATAAAAATAATGTAATGTCATGAGTATACTGTGATATATATATATATATATATATATATATATATATAGATAGATATTTATATTCATTCATTCATTCATGAAGATAGACTAAGAGGAGCCATTTGGACCTGTGATCCCAGTTCGCCTCATCAAGTCTCATGAAGAGGGCATCCTCCACTGCAATGCCAACTCATGCCAAATCATTGCTTCATCAGTTTTGTAATTATCAAACCAGGTACATATGTTCTTGTTGTTTGAAGATATTATGAAAAATGTATACATAAAGAAGGAAAAAAAAAGAAGAAAAAAAGAGAAAAGAGCATAAAAACAACAACAGTGACAACAATCAATCGGTTAAAACTGTACAATTAAACAGAGTAGGATAATGAAGAAGGTGTAGAATCTCAATGTTGGTTAAAAGCATTGTTGTGGTGGTAGTGGTGATAGGGTTTGTGTGGTGCAGTATCAACATGATGACCAAATTCCAAAAGCACTGTCATAATCCTCCCTGTTGAATCCTACACCATGAAATGCATAGAAGGGGGTTGAAAAAATCTATATTAATAATACAAAAAGAATACCAAAAAAATCCAAATCCAAAATAAAATCATGTGGCATGTTGTGACTTGGCATACCTCATAGACCCAGTTGAGCAGCATTTGTTTGCCAATTATTTGGCCTTTCCACTCTGTTTCTGTCTATAGGGTGTAATCAGAGAGTTCATGCCCTTTCACATTTTTGTTTGATTTAATTCTGATTAACTTTGTTGGCCAAGCCCTTGTGTTCACACCCAGTTTAGACCAATATATATATATATATATATATATGTATATTTTTTGTCTTTCTAACACAAGAAATGGACAATATAGACCCATCTGTACTTTGTAATAACAATTAAAAAGGATGGGTATTAATTTCCACCCTGTATGATTGTACTCAAATTCCTGATTCTGCATCAAGTTCTCAATTTTAGTATGGCTTCTTCAGTAGCTGAATGAAATAGATGAATCATTATTATACTTTTAAATGAATTACAACAACAACAAGAATAACAATCACTACAATTATTCTCATTGTCATCAAGAAAAATCTCAATGGTAAGTTTAACTTAACACAAATTAGCAGTGAAATGTAGACATACAAGTTGAAGATGATTTTCCCATGCAGTATTCAAATTGAATTCTAGAACAACAAATCATGGCTGCAATCTGAACAGAATGAATCCACAAAACTCTGTCTTTCTCAAATCCTACAGAGATGATTCACACTTTCAGTAATTTCACACACTTGACTCTCAGTTGCAATCTCTTTGTGTCATGTATCTTGAAAGACTCAATTTTCTCAACAAAAGATCTGACCTGGAGCTCTTTCTCTGCATGTAATACTCAACTTTCGTTGCGGATCTCATCTACTTTATGATCAATCATGGAAGAGCTGGTGTTGATTTTGATGTAGTATGTGACAACATATTTCAACTGTGTAGAAAGCAAATAAACCTCTGATTGAAATCTTATTGAGTTACATTTTTTTATTTCATCACCACACATGTGCAGTGGAAGGTTGTAAACTCAAATGTAGTGTGCATTGAAAATATTTCTCATGTAGGTAAATCACAGTCCTGTCATGCTATTTATATATTGATTTATCCTTGTGTTGGGATTTCTTGAGCCATTTACTTTGTTAAAGTTGATTAGCACATGATAATACATTCAAATTTTAATTTTTTTGATGGAACTCCTATTATTATCTGTATAGTAGATGCATCATTGTTTCTTTCTATTTAGTAGAAATTCAATTCACTGCAAGTCATTTGTTGCAGATTGTGGACTTTTCACAAATTGATTGCCTTAATTGTGTCATTGGTATAATGAGTGATTAAGGAAACACAAGGGATTGGAGAAACAAGTTAATAAGAGGAGATGAAAATTTTAACTGAGTAGTTAAATGGTATATCACATTCATAAAAATATTTTCAACAGTTGGTGTTACATGATAAATGTTGAAAGATGTGTGGTGTTGTGAGAGAATATTATAATTTAATGTTCATCAAAGATATGAATCAATTTTGTTTGTATGAAACATGTTTTAAGATTGACATGTAAATTTATATTGTCTTTGTAAGACGGTTTTGTGGTAATCAATCAACATTTCAAGAATCTATGGCTACTTAAGTAAGAAGGAATATATTCAAGAATCATATGTTAGTTATTTGTTAAGGTATGAATATTTATCACAAGGATTTTGTATAGATGGTGGATATTTAAAATAAACACTTAATTTTTATTTTATTTAAATGTGTGACTATTTATTGTACATAAAATAATGAGAGATAATAAAAAAAATTATAATAAGAATCACAAATGTCATTTGAGATTCATTTTGTCCATTCAAAGTTTATTAGTAACAAATTTGTTATGTTGGTGGTCAAAATTTATTAAAATGTTGAAAATGTAAAATGAGATTTTATTTATATAATTGAAGGAAAATTACACATATTATTCAAATATTTACTATGGCCTATTTTGTGAAGTTTATTATAAAGTATATTTCAATAATATGGAGTTTTTTATTTACTTTTTGTATATTAGGATTTTTAATTATTATGGAATTTTGTAACAAGTTTGTAGAGGGTATTGGAGTTATATTCAAAGCAAGGAAAGTTGATGTAGGAGTTGTGCTTACTTAATGTTACAATTACAATCAAGAAATTGAGGTATTATTAAATACTAAAGTCTTTTTGAATAGAAATCAATTTATAAATATTTGCAAACAATTTAGCCATGTTATCAAAGTATTTGAAGGCTTTAGAGCTTTTAGCAATAAAAGAAGTAAGTATAAAATTTTATTTTTCAAATTTCACTATACAACATTAAGGATACACATGTTGATAAAAGATTATACACAAGAACATTAATGTGAAGCAAAAATCTTTCAAATAAAAAATAAAGAAATATTTAGAGAATTATTGAGAACTTAAAGACTTGTTATGATCTGAGAATTTATCTAATTTCAAAGAAGTATCTAAAAAAATTGGAAGACATTACACTAATATTATTTAATGTTTCTATCTATGAAGAAGTTAAATAAGATGATGAAGAAATTCATCAAAGATTAGATTATATAAATAAAGATATGCAATTTAAGGATCATAGATTGGCATACTATCTATTAATAATATTGAAGGACTTTTAGTGCCTAGAAGGTGGAGAGTTGGATTCTTTAGAAGTATCAAGTGATATCAAAAGTTTAAAGCTTGCGAAAGTCATAAATGAGGATTTTTATGGAGAAGTTCATGAATCAAAGTGATTTGGACTTCCAAGTACAAAAAAAATAAAAAATATCAATTTGAATGCAATGCTTATAAAAGAAGTGGATATCTTAATTAATTCAAGCTATTAAAACTTAATCTGATATTAGTATGCTGCAAAAATTAATGCAAATGAGAATAGAGAGTCTTCAATAATAAATAACTCAAATAAAAAAGTATACTTGGTGATGGAATTGATACAAAGAAGTTTGAGGACTATATTAGAAGCAAAAAGATCAATGCCATATTACTTCTTCTTTTTTATGTTATTTATCAAATTGCAAGAAAATTGTATAGTTTGCATGACATGAAATTGTACATCAATATTTAAAGCAAGATAATATATTACATAATATTATAAATGATGGTAAGTCTAATAATGGTTTTCAATGTATTATTGTGAAGTTAATTGATTTTGGTTGTTCAAAGATGAATGTAGAAAAGAATCCAAAAGTTAAAAAAAAATATACACAAATAGAATTTCAAGATATATGATTTCTAAGATATTAAAAAAATACAATGTAATCAATAAAGATATGTAATTTTGAAGCACATATATATTATTTTTTAATAACATGTTTTAAGATTCTTTCAAGAAATTATTCATTAGATGTTATAAACAAAATAGGAGATTTCTTAAAAAAAAAATTGAAAAAGTTGAAAGACCAAAGTTACCTTCAAATTATGATGATCTTAATAAATTGATCCAAGAATGTTGGAATTTGGATCCTTTATAAAGTCTAAGTTTTTTAAATATTTGTAAGAGACTTATAACATTGAAGAAAAAATATTTGATAGAAATTGATATAGCCAAATTACCTTATTTTGGAGCATTTAAGAAAAAAGATCGTAAAATGAGCAAATCAAAAGATGTGCATGTTGATATTACATTGATAAATTTTATATTAGAATTTTTTTTTGATGTATGCATTGAATTTATTATTTTTTATTTTATTTCAAAATCTACATAATCAAACATGTGTCTTTTAATGATCTTTTATAAAATATAAATATGCAATTAGATTCTTTTGTTAGAAATTATGACATAGATTGTATCTTTTATTAACATCATGATTTAATTATTTGAACATAGACATGATTATGAAGACAAGTTAATGGATATAGAACAACATTTGTTAAATATCAAATAAATATGCAAAAAAGAAATAAATGCCTTATGTTTTCTTGATATGGATGGAATTAAAAAGACTACATTAGCAAAGACTATATTAGCAAAGACTATATTTGATAATATGTAATACATGTATAATGTATCATATTTTATTGAAATTATTCAAAAGGAAGATGATTTTTTCAATAAATTACAAAGTTTTGGACTAATTGAATTTTCAATCTAAATCAAAGAATTTAGAAGAAGCACAAATTATGATAAAAGAATTAATGATGAGAAAAAAAATTATATTAATTTTAGATGATATAAAGAATAAGAATCATATTAATAATGCGTTACTTATATATGTTCTATATTCTAACAAAGGTAGCATATTAATTATGACAACACAAAATTAGAAGGTGATAAAGACTACCTTACAAAAATTTCTAAATTTGATGTTTAAGAATTTGACAAAGATGCAAGTTTGAAGTTGTTTACAACTTATTCATATAAAGATGATCATAGATTAATTAAAGAACTTATTGAGGTTGACACAGAGATTGTAAGATCTTAAAATAGAATATCCTTGAGTTTGAGAGTTGTAGGGTTATTTTTAGGAGAAAAAAAGAGGTTGCGATGTTGGAAAAGAGTATTGTAAAAATTAAAAAGAGGAAGATATTTGGATAGAAATGAAGATAGTAATTATAAGCTATGGATTATTTTGAAGATAAGTTTTATTGTCTTTAAAGTTAAAGAAAAGGATATGGTTTCACAGATTTACAACAAAGATAATACTTTCAAATAGTAGTAGAATAATTTAAATAAAATTATTGATGTAAAATAAATAAAAAATATATATAATTTAAGATGTTTTAATATTTTTTAAATAAATAAATATATATATATTATTACAATATAAAATACTTTGAGATTTATATATATTTTAAATATTTAAGAATACTTAAGGTTGCAATTTTTAATTATTCTTTTATGATGTTGTTGATTAGATAGAAGTTATTATACTTGATAATGATATTAAGAATATCTTGCAAAAGTTCATTATGAAGAGTTTACACTTTTGCTCTTTACAAATGCTTACATGTAACATTAAACAAAAGTTGAGTATATTTTCTTTTCAAAGTTTTTTCATGTTTTGTGTCTTTGATAATAGTCTATCTTGTATTTAAATGTAATAAAATTTTAAAATAATTAAAAATTAATAATTAATAATTAATAATTAAAAATATATATATTTTTTAGAAATTTATACTTTTTGGATCACATAACTATTATTTTTTAACTAATATAATAATAAAATTTTAAAATAATTAAAATTTAATAATTAAAAAAATATATTTTTTAGAAATTTATACTTTTTGGATCACATAACTATTATTTTTTAACTAATATAATAATAAAATTTTAATTATTTCAATTAGAAAATTAAATTATAAATATATGCATTAATAAATAAAATTAAATAATTCTTTTTATTACACTTTGAGATATATATATATATATTCAAATAAATAAATAAATAAATATGTATGTATGTATGTATGTATGTATGTATGTATGTATGTATGTATGTTCAATGTATTAAATATACATACATAAATATATATAAAGGGCCAAAATCATATGAATTTTTTATTATTAAAATTTATTAATATTTGACTGACCTTTAAAAAATGATCTTCTTAAAAAACTAAAATTCTGTGTACATTTTTGCAACTGACTGAGGATTAATTTCTTGAATTCATTTCTTAAAAATGTATTATGAAAAACTTTGAATTTAAATTTTATAATCGGAACTATCATAACAAAAATTTAAATTACCTTTTATAAACATGGAGTATGACATAATAATAAAAACAAAGTAACAACAATGCAATTATTGAATTATTACAAAAATAGTAACCATAATTCAGTAAGCATAACTACAGAATATATTATCTTGAAAATTAATTAATAGATGTAATAAAAAACAATAAGCATTGATTCAATGACAAGTTATTCAAAAACAGTTTACCATTCGTTTCTTACAGATTTATACTATTATATATATATATATATATATATAACATTGTGTATTTCTATTGCAGTTCCCTTTTTTATTTAGTGATTCTAACAATATACATTGTACACTGGCTCACATCAACATTTTTTGAGTAGCTTAAGATATAAAAATAATTACAAAGCTCTACTTATGATTCTTAGATGTATTTCTAACAAATAAACAGCACAATCATAATGATTGTATATGCAAATAATAATTTAAAGTAGAGACATGTTTTCTCATCATGTTAACTTCAAATTTTATTCTCTATTCTCTTTGGTAGTATTTGTTGGTATGACATTAGTATAAATTAGATATGTGTTAAAACTAATAGGTTATATTTACTGATAAGATACAAATTAGAAACAGATCTTGATATAAAACTGTTACTTAGATTGTGTACTGTTAAGTTTCAAAAGAGAGTTCTATTCATGACAACATCTCAGTAACTTAAAAGTATAACCTCAAATCTGATGAAATAAGTCAACTGCTCTTTGCAACAGTTTTTAATTAAACACTTTATGAAATTATGCAAAATAACTTAAAACTCACATTATTCTTTTTTATTATTATTGTAAAGATTATTGTAATAAAAACCTGAATATAAGAAAAGATAGTAAATAATACTGTGAGTATGTTGACATTTTATGTTTTGCACAGCTCTCTGATATCCAGCTGTATTGTAGTACTATTTGATTTCTCATTCAATCAAATGCTTCAAACATCTTTATCATTTTTTCCCATCTGGTCTACCTTCACAGTATCAACCACCAATATCATATTATGTCATATTTTGATGTGTACATTT